GGGCCCACTCTACTCGGTGGGGGTGGGGCCCTGTTACCATGGACACGGACAAGTCCACTGACAGGAACATGTAGAGCTGGGCTAAAAGTGGGAGGGGGGGTGTATTGACTGGGGCTTGGTTTGTCATGTGATGGCCAAGACCAAGCCGGTGCTCCTTACGTACTTTTTTTTTTTTTAATTTTTTTTAAATACACCAGAGCTCTGTACGTGTTAACCAATGGTCAGAAGGATGGGAAAAAAAAGAGATGCAACCCCCCCCCATAAAAAAATGCAGAAGAAAGCAGCTTCTACTGAACAATATGGAGGCAACAAAGTGGGAGACCAGAAACCAGGTCGAGCACGTTTACGCGCGTCTGGGGGGGGTGTAGATGCAGCACCTTTATGAGCTACATCACACAAACCCTCAAGTGTCAAAGGGATGTTAAAAAAGACACATGAAGTTGATTATGCACTCCCCCCCCCCAAAATCAGGGGGCATAATAACATTCCAACCAGTAGCACGCATCCACTGCAGTGTACACGACTCAGATTCGACACTTTGACTACTTGAATCTAAAAACGGGCAAATTGTCACGTAAATTCAAAGATAACCTCCAAGTGGAATTCCAGCCCTTTCCGGCCAACTGTGTGCCATTCCTGGCTGATCCGTCCCACCGCCAGCACCCCCCCAGCTCCTCCTCCTACCCACACATTCTGTATGCTCTGCATTGCGGTGAGAACGCCATGTGAAATGTGCAAATGCACCAGGGCCGACCTATAGCTCCACAGACAGAAGAAGTCAGGCAGGGTTAGGAGGGGCGGGGGGTGGATTGGAGTGGAGAGGAGTGGGGGTTGGGTGCTCTATACATTCCCTGGTCCCCCTTGCAGCCTTTGATTTGGGGATGGGTGATTGGGGTGTGGTGGTGTAGGTGATGGCCAAGACCAAGCCGGTGCTCCTTACGTACTTTTTTTTTTTAATTTTTTTTAAATACACCAGAGCTCTGTACGTGTTAACCAATGGTCAGAAGGATGGGAAAAAAAGAGATGCAACCCCCCCCCCATAAAAAAATGCAGAAGAAAGCAGCTTCTACTGAACAATATGGAGGCATTGCAACCTACACAAGTAAAAAAAAAGACAACGAGTACTCGGCGCTCATCCAGCCATCAGACTATTCAGGTACGCATTGGTTCTGATTGACTGAGCTCCACATTGGCCAGGTTCTGCCACTCCGGTCGCCTCCTACACACCAAAGGGCCTTAAATGCTTGCTGTGAACCGCCACTCCTCCCCCCCCCACCCCACAACACACACACACACATAAATAAGATACACATTCAAAGCCATGAGTTTTTGGATGACTTGCTTTGTAAGCTCCCTCAGAACATTCCAATGAGTTGAATATCTTCAGCCAGACACTATGAGGTGACTCAACTGAAAAGACTGTTGCACGTTGGCCACCGCGCGCCGGGCCCCCCAAAAGTTGAATGCAAAGGCTACGTTGACGTGAAACTGTGGGTAGATTGTAGGAGTTGTCGGCCATAATTCACACCCCTCTTTTTTTTTTTTTTTTTAAAAGTGCAGGTGGGGCTCCATGATGACCATGTGAAGCAAACTTCTCAAACGAAAAGAACCAATCTTTACCCCGTTCTTCTATTTCTTTTTTAAAAGGCTACAAGTGAGGATTCAAATGTGATAAGAGTGCGATAGGAAAAGCATGTGGACATTTTTTTTTGCCCTAGTGTGTTTAACAGCAGTATCATGCGCACAGGCGCGCACACACACACACACACACACACACACACACACACACACACACACACACACACTTCCTTCTTATACCCACGCCATTTTTTTTCCTTCTGTACATGTGACTCAGTGAGGATTTTGGGTTATGCCCGATTTTTTTTTTTTTATCAACGCCCCCCTCCCAGACGCAAATGTGAACCCAGGAGTTCATGGAGAGTCGAGACAATAATCACAAACTGGAAGTGAATCAAAACACACTTGTACCTATTTTTTTAGATAAAAATTAAAAATTGGTAGGAGAAAAAAAAATTGGCTCACTTTAGTGCTTATTTTCTTTTAAAAATTCTATTTTTCAAAACCGTGGGCTGCTCATAAAATTAGCTTTTATTTAAAAGATTTAAAGGTTAAACTCTCACATTTTGACCCGATAAACCCAGTTGTGTCTTTTTTTCCGCCCCGTAGCTGAAACTTGCAATTGTTGGAGACCTAATTTATTTTTACTACAATAACTATCCTTTAAAAAAAAATAAAAAAGTATTTAACCTTCTGTTGCACACGATTTAGAAAGTGGTTAATTGATGTACTTTTCTACTATTTCCACTGAAATGATTTAAAATGATACACGTTTGGTTAACATTTTAATCTTGTGCAACTGATGTACATGACCGACTTAAGTAAAGCCAACGGATCCAAATGATTTTTTTTCTTCATTGCAATGGTTCATATTCACAATGAGCTGTGTGTGGGTTTTTTTCTGTCTTTCTCTCGCTTTTAGATTTTCAAAAACCTTTCGGAGAATTCCAGCCCATGCTCTGTGTTAACCCCAAAATGGACACTGTACATGCTTGCATCTTTCCTGACTGTTTATAGCACTTCCCTTTTTTCCTGAGGAGTCCAAAGGTTAAAGACATGGTGATTGGCCAAGCCCCCTCCTCCCATCCCTCCCCCCAGCTGATATTTGCAGAATGCAAAGAATGGCCCAGCGTGTGTGTCTGTGTGTGTGTGTGTGTGTGTGTGTGTGTGTGTGTGTGTGGCCCATGTTGCCTATACTATCCATTTGTGCTCATGAAAATTAGTTTAATTTCACATTGTGCAGGCTTTTGCTAGGCAGGGCTGAAACTCAACTCCATTATTGGATAAACACACATATGCACACAATTGAAACAGACACGTTTGTGTAAAGAATTAATTAATTCAGCACATCTATTTCAAAGGCAGATTTTAGTACGTCAAAAAAACGCCCACATGACATTCACGTGGGAAAGAAAATGAACTCATGAGAAAGTTAGGATTATTTTTAGGTAATAGACCCGTCTGAAAAGATACAATTTCAGACATTTTTTTGGGGGTGATAAAATGTATGGCAAGTTTCCAAGGTGACAGCCCATTTCAACTTGGCAGCTAATTCAAAGAAACAACACGTTGCACACAAAACGTGTAGCCATGACGAGAAATCATTCAACATCTTAGCTCACACTATCAATGCACCAAATGGACTATCTCAAAATATTCATAAGGCTGTGGGTGCGCCAACTTCACAAGATGTGCACGCAAGGAGCCAATCTACAAGCATTTTAGAGGAAATACCCCAAATGTCGTTAAACTGCAAATACAACAGGAGAGGTGGCAACGAGTGTGCAGTTGTGCAACGAGGTTTTGCGTGACTTTGGGGGCCCCAAGGCTTCCCATTCTGCTTTTAGCGTCCATCTCATGCATGGCAAGGGGGAAAAAAAAAAAAAAGAGAGAGAGGGGCGGAAGCCAGCAGTGACGGAGCAGATCCTTCAAATGGACGACTCCATGAGGCCTGTGCGTATGCCTGCTGTCTCCCTGAAATGCGTTTTCTTGTACAGCCACTTGAAGGGGACATTTTTGGACACCCAGCACGTGTCTGCATAAGTTATTTTTAAAACAATAAATACGTACAACAAAAATGTGACGGTTGAGCCCAAAAGGCAGCACCCCACTGTCAAGGCAGAGAGGAGGGAGTAGCTACAACAAGCCATACGCCCCTTTTCATTGAACCCCCCACCCCAACAACATTCAGGGGGGAGGGGTGACAAAACATACATTTAAAAAATAATCATAAGCACAAACTTTTAGCAAAAAGGTTCAAAGTTATAACCTACCTTTGACGTTTTGGCACAGAGTGTTCCACATCGAGAAGTTTCCCATGGAGTTCAACTTTACCTAAAAAAAAAATGCAAAAACAATTCTGCATTCATTGTTGCTTGTTAGGGATTTCTGCTTCCTCGTTTAATTAAATAAAAACAAATCCACTGACGTGCAAGGGAGTGGGGGGTAATATTAGCAGACAGCCACAAAATGGCTTTTACAAAGGCGAGTTGCAACGACGAAACAGTTTCATTCAAAAGTATTCGGGTAAAATATCATCTTTTTTGTGCCAAAGCGCAACTGTTATATTTAATATAAAAAAGCAGTGTCGCCAGTGCAAAAAAAGCAAGTGTGTGCGCCTCATAGTTGGCCTACATTTTGAGCAACACAATTAAACCACCTGGTGTGTCAGCATGGGCAAAATGGCTACACAACACAACGAGCGACTTGTGGCCACAGGAGAAGGCTTGTGGGACTTTTTGAAAAGACGCTTTTATTTTAGTACTACTTGAGAAGGCTCGAAAAGCTGCCTGCCACCCACCCACACGCACACACACACACACACTCACACACATACGACGACGACCTCTAACCCGAACCCGAGCAAAGGCCCGCAACAAGGTTCGACTCCACAAGAGAATCCCGTTGATATTTTTGATTCATCGACTATAATTCAAGTGTTTTAAAAAAAAAACACACAATGAGATGTATATACAAATAAAAGCAAGATACCCCAGCCGCAATGATCACATGCATTTCGAATAGGGGGCCACGCACACACACAAAACCCAGTTTCACGCCGTTGCAAACGTCTCACCTGAAAGAACATCGATGGCCTTCATTGCAGTCTTCTCGTCGGGGCAGTCCACGAAGGCATAGCCGGTTTTGACCAGAAAGGGACCACTGTGGGGAATGTTCCACGTCTCAAAGATAGTTTCGAAGTCCTCTTCGCTGGCCTCGGCGCTCACGTTGCCAATATATAGCTTATTCATGTTCACAACCAACAACAATAAAAAAAACAAACAAAAAGAACCACCCAACGGCTCAGATAGCGACCGTGCTGCGTTTGGAGTTGCCTCAAAACAAACAAACAAAAAAAAAAGAAAAACAAAAAAAAAAGGAAAAGAAACCTCGTTTAGTGCACTACGGAATGGACCGACCCTAGATTTAAACTGGCAGCCTCGTAGTGGCTTCGCGCTCCCTCGCCCCTCTCTCTGCCTCTTCTTTCACCACGCAATAAATAAACGCTTAGTTATTAATCTTGCACGCTCTTCCAAACGACGATGGGCTGGGTAGGGAAGGGAAAAAAGGAGGCGAAACTACTTTGTGTCTTCCTCCGAAGAGACGGACAATGTCACACACGCTCAGGCAGGCACCCGCCTCTGGGTCGACTACAACCAAGGAGAAGAAGAAGAAGCGACGAAGAAGAAGAAGGGGAGGAAAAAAAATCCGCTTCTATTCCGTTTTTTTTTTTGAATGAGCCACGTGTTCAAACTTCAAATCAACCGACACGTGAGGAAACCCAATTGCTCAATTAAGTGTTTGGGATTGGGGAAAATTGCTCGGGAATCTGGGGTGGGGACAGTTGAGGGGGAGTGGATGTTTTTTTTTTTTTTTTTTTTTTTTTTTTTTAAGGAGGGGAAGAAGAGAGGATTGGTGTAAAAAGGAAAAGAACCTGGGCAGCGTTAGAAAAAAAAGAGGTTCCGTTCGAGGCTGCTGTCTTTCCTAGAATCACATTCGTACGCCTTTCTCTGCATTAAAAAAAAAACAGCTTCGTTCTCATTGGACGCCGGGGCTATAGTAAAACGTGCCCGCGCGCGCACGCGCACGGAAACTCCGCTTAAGTAGAGTGATCTCACACACAAGGACGAAGGGGGGCGGGGTGGGGCCATTCATAAATGATGTTGTACGACTATTTTGCTAAAATAAGAAATACGTGACATGTGATGGGGGGATTGGGGTGGGGGGTAGAAGAGCTTGACCCGTGGTTCTCACTCACGCAACGTGGGAATGACACGTATTCCTATTCAAATGAAGGCGTCCATTTTCCCTCATACGCTTCCCCTCCCTCAATACGCAACCAAAGTCAAACAACTCGCCCGAGTGGACCATAACCACCCCGTTTCTATATTTAGATGTTGTATTCATTCCCTTTCAAATGCTTCCACGGTTCTACTTTGCTACGAGTTTGAGTTTGGCCATGTGGTTCATAGCGAGCCTTGGCTGCCATGTTGACTGCAAGGGGGAGGGGCTTTCAAACATGGCGTCCTAACGTACGGCCCAATTGAAACGCAAGAAGTGCATTTTTGAAAATGTACACGTCTGTTCTGTGCAGTCAAAGGTCACGACGGATGGGCCACAATATTAGGTACATTTGCACAATCGAATGCAGTGTTTCTAAATGCAAGCTTCACGGTGCTTCACAAAACTTAGTGAGCCAAGACTCATATTTTCCCCTGGAGAAATCGACCGGGACAAACACCAAGCAAAAATGACATAAAAAAGTATGTGTTTCCGAAGAAATGGTCATGATGTGTGGTGGTAGGACACTATTATTATTATTATTATTATTAATGAAAACTTTCAGACCAGTTAAGCATAATAATTAATAATGAGGATTCAATGCAAATTTATTGCCTTTATAAACCTACTTTGAGTTGTGATTTACATGTACTAAATTCATGACTGTGGTGGGAGATTTTTCTAATATTCCGCAGTTAAAGTAGACAGCCCTCTGTGTGATAATTGTAGTTTTACACCACAATAATTGAAACAAGAAACATGCCTCTCTGACAGTGTGAATCAAACCGTGGTGATGTTAGACCTCATTAACTTGTACATGTGTACCTAATCATTTTCCTGACAGACATATAGCATTCCTCACACAAGCTACTGTATGTCAATTACGCTTGGGTAAGCTTCAGTTGCACTTTCTGTCAATATAAAGTGTATACTGCCAACCGTGTCGAGTCTCAAATTCACATACTGTATATCTCATTAAAGGCACTACAATTTTTTGCAATTTCTGTTCAATCGGTTTTGCCTTATATTTAGTTTGTTTAATAAGTTGTAGATAAATACCAGTATTAGAAGCAGTTCTCAGTATAAAGTCATGTATTTCTACACCGCAGTTGCGTTTGTGTTGTCAGTAATATTGTATACTGCACTACTATCGATGATATATCATTATTGTAAGAGTTATAGGAAATGTGCACGAGAGCACTTCAATTAATTTATAAATCAATTTTTGCACATAAAGGTTTTTTACAATGTCATGCAAGCGGTGATCAACATGTTTTTGTTTTGCGCCTTATAGTCTGTTCCGGGGTGTTTCCTGGCTATCAATGCATGCTAAACAAGTATAAGTGTGGTCAATAAAAGTAAGTTATCAAATACTGTATTCTTCCATAGGAAACGATTTCCAACAGTAGTAGTAGAGTTGAAAGTGCATGTTGTTAGTGCTTTTTCCTTTATAGTAAAAACAATAATAATAATCATCATCATCATCATAATAAGTAGTTTTCGGGCCCTTTGAATGAGTGGATAAGAGTCGGGCCATGCCTGCATGAGAGGGTTTCCTCCCGCACACCACATGCTGCCCTCTGATTGGCCGGGAGAGCTGACCAATCAGAGGGCAGCACGGCCGCTCCGACTACTGCCGCCGGTGCGGCCATTTGATTGGCTGAGGGAGAGCGACTATTCTATATGAACCAGCCCGCCAATGATGCGTTTACGTCCACGTTGAGATTGTTGGACTTTGGTTCACTCTATAGGGATGGAACGAAATATGAGCCACAGAGCCAACTTGTGGCATTTTTTCAGATAGTTGATTGAGCTCTTGCTCAACTCTAGCCTGTCTCACAATTGATTTACTTTTACAACAAACCGTATGGAACTAGAGGTTCTTCAAGAAGCAATGCGCCTTCTTCCTAGACGCTCATACATTTAATCTGTTTATATTCGAGTCACTGGTTAGATCTCGGAAAGTTTTTAAAAACAGTTTCTGCCGAGTGATCGAATCGGTACATTTACCATAAATATTTGCGTTACTTGGCACGTTCCGTTGATGCGTTTGTGTTTACAAAAATTGTGACAATTTATCTGGCGCAAAAATGAGTGAGAAGAAACACGGGGAAAGATGGCTTGTGGGGCCGCTGCATATAGATTTTTTTTTTCTGGACAACTGCAGCCATGCTGTGTGAGGTCTCGGGCCGTGCACGTCGACTTGAATGAGCTCTCGCATGGCTGCAGCCTCGTTGTGTGCGCGTGTGCGAGGCTACGACGCAGCCATGTGCGCGACGGATGAATGTATCGCTGAGGAATGTACAGAACGCCTCCCCCACACTTCCAGAGCCCTCCACCCCCTTCTATGGACTCCTTCCATAGGGGGGAAGTAACATAAAGTTGGGAGAGTCCATCATTTCCTATGTTAGTTAGTGCACGTGGGCCAGATTTAACCAAGTGCAGCGCTAAAACTCTTATTTTATTTTTTTTTGTGGGGTGTATATCGGGTAGGTTTAAGTATGTTGTCGGCAGTTAGTGCTCAATTTCAGGTTGTTGTTGGCCTCGCTCAAGTAAAGTCGTCGCCAGGGCTCTCCCAAACCCACTTATGCTACACAATCTCTGGATTCTGTCAACTGGTGAGAATTCTTTACGTCTTTTATTCTATCTAATCATTACTCTTCTCAGGTCGTTCTTCATGTAGTGTTTAAACGTGTGCAGCAGAGCATCCACTGAGGAGTGACCGTTTCGAACGCCATGTTGAGCCCTGGCTGTTACGTTCACTGACGCCTCCTCATCTACGTTAGCACATTAAGTCTTATTTGCTCGAAACACATGCATCAATGCACCTCAAGTGGATCCACACCAGCTCCCCCCAAAAACAACAAACTAACTGGGTGCTTTTTACCCCCCCCTCCATTTTTGCTCTTCCTTCTTGGGAGATGACAACCCTCATGTCAGTAGTAAAATGGCGGTGTGAGCGTGGTTTTTGTGTGTGTGTGTGTGTGTGTGTGCGTGTGTGTGTGTGTGTTTGTGCAGCACCTCCTAACAAGCCAGTCCCGATTTTTAACATAGATGTATTTACATCACACTTTTGTCACATCAAATAACAAATAAAAGGGTTATAGATCTCGTACGTTAAAAATGGTAGAGGGAAATGTCCATTTTTCTGGTGTCATAACTCAAATGTTTTAACTTTTACGAAAGCATGCCTTCCGTCTTGTTAGGCAAGAATGAATAAATCCGTATTTTTTTTTAAATAGGGAAATGTTGCTGTTTTTAATTCCGTTACCTAGCACGACAGCATATTCATAGCCAGGTTCGTATGTTTTGCATGGGTTATAAAGTGGACGTTACGAATTGCATTGTTTTTAATATTTCTAAAGCTGCTATGAGACAAGACTTGTGATATTTGATTGATTCATGTCATTAAAAAAAACTGTAGGGTTTTAATGGACAGTTGTTGATTCCACGATGTTGCATGAGCTCACTTTTTCATATAAAACTCTAAAGTCCACGTCCTCCAGTCCATAAATTTGGTTAAAAAGTCAGTGTTCACAGATTTCTTCTAATATTTGCAGAAACGTGTGACACTTTGTATTTAACTGAACGACTGGGCGTAATTTGACCGTCTTTTCTCCTTCTGTTTAGGGTTTCAAGATTGTATTCTTTGTCAATTATTCCTCGCTGTAAACTGTTCGTAAAATGACTTTTAAGTAACCACACTCTTCGTGATCTGATCCAACCCAAAGCAGACAGAAACGTGGGCTGTTGCACTTCAAGATTTCACACTTGTACTTTTGTCTATAGTACTGCAATAAAATGTGCAGGACTTTTTTTTTTTTGGAATGTGGACAGCACATACCGTGGAATGGATTAGTCTGCTAATGTGTGGACTGAAACTGTTATTTTTTTGTTCTTGTGGAAATATTGACAATGCAAATTTGTATGATCTATGAGCTTGTTTAGGGTAAATGCTTGTGATTGGGTAATTTACATCGCAGGTGTGGATTCATTAGATTTTGAAACTGGCCCTGAAAGTTCTTTCCTGTATTTAATGTTTTGTTCTGTCATTCAATTGCAACGTTTCATAAAGATTATTTTGAAAGACCAGCTGTATTCTGTACTGTTTTGATTCAAAAGTTCTCATTTAATTTGTACAAAATACACTTTTTAAATGAACATTGAGGTGGGGCGGGGAAGCTCTGTACAAAATGATTTCCGGAAATACATGTTGATATGGGGAAGGTCAGAAAAAGGGATATTCAGCATCTAAACATAACAGCAGATGAGACAACTAGCTGACTAATAACAGATTTAGAGTCAACATAGACCGTAGAAACAGTGCGCGTTCGGCATGCAGTCAAAATGTATCCAAAACATAAAGAATAGTCACCATTCTCTCTTAACCTCTCTTTGATAGCGCAAGTACACCACAAGTTACACCAGGTCAGCATTTGGGGCAAGGTGTGTTTATGCACACCACAAAAACCTATTTGAAGCATATATCAAAACTTCACAGTGAATTGAATAAAGAAAAAAAAAAGATGAGCTCCTGTGAAATCACAATTCACATCATCCGTCGACCCAGACGCATGTATGACTTATTTGTTAGCTGCATGCAGCTTACGACAATCAAGGCCGGGGACCATTGGGCCCATTCTGTCGCCAACAGGCCATAAAGTGCACTTCTGAAACATGGAGCGCTTATCCAGGCGGACTACAGTTGATCAAGCTATCAGCAGATGACCCCTGAAAATGAACCCGGGTCAGTGCTCTTTAAACGTCACAACTAACCATAAAATCATGTTAATTATCTGCATTCTTTTTTTTTGGTCCGTGGATGTGTGTGAAACACATTGGACCGCGCAAATATGGTTGCACTTGTCATGGAATCGCACAGCCGCCAAAGAACATTCACGTCAAAAGGTCATGGCTTAAATAACAGTGGAAAGAAAGAAAAAAAAAAGGGGGAGCGTCAACATGGCACACATTAAAAGAGATGAAGACAACAACAAGGTCAAGTCCATCTTTGTGCTGAAATGTCTTACTTTGAACCTCGAGCTGGAGAACTTTCCAGGCTGTCAAAAGTGAACCGATGCATAGCTGCGAGCCCCCCCGCACCCCCGCGACATGTCAGCAGTTATTCCAACACCCATTTGAAGAAGCCACGCCATTATTTGAGATGGCATTAAGGGGGTTAAAAGCAGATGAATGTTTTAGCGCCAGATTTTCAAGATTGCGTTCATTCTGAAGATGCCCGATGCGTCGTCACCTGTGCGCACGGAGGGCCGATGCGGTGTGCTTTTTTTTTTTGCTCAGTGCCCAACAATGAACGTAAAGAAACCTGATCACATTTTCGGAGCCCTTGTGTAAAAGCAGGTCAACTTAAAACACATTTTAGTTACCATGTGAAATGCCTCGCATAACCAGAGTTAACAGGGTGCCTTATCGTTTTAAGTGAAAGCCATTTTTGATTCACCGTTCTTTCGTAGAGGCGGGTACATCACTATTTGCAGTATTCTGATATTTGACTTCATGAAACGAGACATAACTAATGAAGTCTTGCAGGTCTATTTCCCCACTTTGTTTTATTGGCGCAGCTGGACTGAAGTGGTGTTGAAAGTTTGAGAGAAGTCCTTGTGAACTTGAAGTGCGGCCCAAACATGATTCCAAAGGTGTGAACTTAGAACACCATCCTGGCGTCTTGGCTGGTTCTGTGAAACTCTCCTTTGCTTCATTTCCCACCTCACCCACACATCTTCACTCTCACCCATAAAAGTGAAGCCCAACTTCAATTCGAATACACATTCGAGCCAGAAAAATGAGAAACTTTTCAGAGTTCATAGTTGTATTTCCATATATAGCACCCCCCCCCAAAAAAAAACAACAAAAAGGCAGTTTGATCATAAAACTCAAATGATGACCTTAAGCAGTGTCAGCAGAGATTTACGCTAACTCTACATGGTACTTACCAGAAGATTCAATTCCCACTGTGTAACAGTGAAGATTAGAAAAAAAAAAAAAAAGGGGTGAATGGCAACAATAAAAAAAAAAAAAGTTTTGAGTCCATTGCTCTCGCATCGTGGAAGTTGAGAGATTCGCAAATTAAAACCACCCTCTGCATGTAAACACAACTACCTTGAACTCAAAGCGTGCTGTGAATTTCGACATGCTAAGTTCATATCAGCTGCAGCACCTCAGAAGCGCCCTGAAAAAAAAAACAAAGCACACACATTCAAGGCAAGTCAGTGGCGTTTGATGAAAACAGCGATACAAACCCAAATGAGTATATCGGAGTCATATTCAACATCAAAAGGCTTTCATTTGGTCTCGTTCATACTTACTTTGGTTGTAGGAGCGAGACCAAGAGGAATTTCTGTATCTCCCGTAGTCCGGTGATGGGGAGCGCCTGCGCCTGCAATGGGTACACGGAGAGTTGAAATGGAGTAGAGCAACATTTGGACAATGGAAATGATGACTTACCCGTCGTATCTGTAGTCGTACTCTTCGTAGCTGTCGTATCGGCCGTAGCCCCGATTGTAGGCTCGGTCGTAGCCCCTGTCGTAGCTCCGGTCGTAGCTCCGGTCGTAACCACGGTCGTAACCTCGGTCATAGCCTCGGTCGTAGGCTCGGTCGTAGCTTCGCTCGTAGCATCGTTCATAGCCTCGAACACGATAAGAACTCCTTCCCCAATGGCAACCTCCAACGCCGATCTCCTCTACAAGAAAACAAAACAAGAAAAAAAAAAAAAGAGGTTTGAAGGAGATTGGTCACCGACTCCCCTCTTCATGAGTGAGACATAAAAAGGGGAAAACGTTGGTTTGACTCTTACATAGATTGTTTACCCATGTAAATTCCAGGTGTGGGGGTGTGGGCACGCTTGGTAATGGAGTAATCTACTCTGATTACCCTCCCGTCGATCTCCATACCGTTGGCTCTCTCCATTGCCTGAGAAACAAACGTCCAGAGTCAAGGATCAGCATCATATGCGCAGTCGGCATGGATGCCTTGACTCGGAGGTCGACTGTAACGATACTGACATCTAGTGGTGCACTCGCGTAATCACACGTGCCCAGCAAAGAATGGAGACGGTGCGTGTTGCCATACGACGACACATGGCGCAATTTGAAAACAGGTTTACTTGAGATGACACGTCATCTCGTTGGAGCAACACCGCACTGGACTGTGTCTATGCTACTGTACGGTAATTACTGCCACAGAAGCAGTTTTGGTCCAAGGAAATGCACATCATTCAACATATAGAGGCGACGAGTCGCAATAAAATGAAACAAGTCAACCTTACCTCCTTTGAATCTTCCAGTCTCTCAAAGTAAACGAAGGCATATCCTCGCGAGCGGCCCGAGCGCTGGTGGAACACCACGTTGACACCAGTCAGACGACCGTACTGTGAAAACACGTGCCTCAGGTCTCGCGCTGTGGTCTCCAAGCTTAGGCCAAATACCCCCAAACATTTGCTGGGATCGGGGTTTGCCTAGAAGGGGTCAACAATAACGCTTTTGGTTGATCGCATTCCGTTCTTGTTCGGTGCATACAAATGTCCAATTGCAACCTTTTCCGGCCTACTTTGATCATTTCTGCAAGCGGAACAGCGTTCAAACCCTTGACAGATTTAATAACCCATTCGACAACTTTAAAAACCCGAGGCGGGTCGTTTTGACCTCAATCAACATGGAGTTTATCAGCGGTTACGAGCACACCGAACGGAATCTCTGAGGTATCAATCGGGTGAGCCTCATTCAAAATGCTGAGTTACCGTTACGTGTACGCGATGTGTCCCACTTACGTGCGATTCCACCCGAGAAATCACATGCACAATTACCACACCACGCCCGCCCAAAATAAGGCCCAAGGTCCACCTACCCTATCGACTAGCCCGCCGTGGCTGTTCGCTTCTTTGGCTTCATGGCTCTGTTGATAGAATGAAATAACAGCAACGGTTATTGAATGTGCCGTCAGAGTGCTTTTGCCACAGCATGAACCGCAATTACTTGAAAAATTCCCGCGTGCGACGCAGCTGGACTGAAGTGGTGTTGAAAGTTTGAGAGAAGTCCTTGTGAACTTGAAGTGCGGCCCAACCATGATTCCAAAGGTATGAACTTAGAACACCATCCTGGCGTCTTGGCTGGTTCTGTGAAACTCTCCTTTGCTTCATTTCCCACCTCACCCACACATCTTCACTCTCACCCATAAAAGTGAAGCCCAACTTCAATTCGAATACACATTCGAGCCAGAAAAATGAGAAACTTTTCAGAGTTCATAGTTGTATTTCCATATATAGCACCCCCCCCCAAAAAAAAACAACAAAAAGGCAGTTTGATCATAAAACTCAAATGATGACCTTAAGCAGTGTCAGCAGAGATTTACGCTAACTCTACATGGTACTTACCAGAAGATTCAATTCCCACTGTGTAACAGTGAAGATTAGAAAAAAAAAAAAAAAGGGGTGAATGGCAACAATAAAAAAAAAAAAGTTTTGAGTCCATTGCTCTCGCATCGTGGAAGTTGAGAGATTCGCAAATTAAAACCACCCTCTGCATGTAAACACAACTACCTTGAACTCAAAGCGTGCTGTGAATTTCGACATGCTAAGTTCATATCAGCTGCAGCACCTCAGAAGCGCCCTGAAAAAAAAAACAAAGCACACACATTCAAGGCAAGTCAGTGGCGTTTGATGAAAATAGCGATACAAACCCAAATGAGTATATCGGAGTCATATTCAACATCAAAAGGCTTTCATTTGGTCTCGTTCATACTTACTTTGGTTGTAGGAGCGAGACCAAGAGGAATTTCTGTATCTCCCGTAGTCCGGTGATGGGGAGCGCCTGCGCCTGCAATGGGTACACGGAGAGTTGAAATGGAGTAGAGCAACATTTGGACAATGGAAATGATGACTTACCCGTCGTATCTGTAGTCGTACTCTTCGTAGCTGTCGTATCGGCCGTAGCCCCGATTGTAGGCTCGGTCGTAGCCCCTGTCGTAGCTCCGGTCGTAGCTCCGGTCGTAACCACGGTCGTAACCTCGGTCATAGCCTCGGTCGTAGGCTCGGTCGTAGCTTCGCTCGTAGCATCGTTCATAGCCTCGAACACGATAAGAACTCCTTCCCCAATGGTAACCTCCACCGCCGCCATCGTCGTCGTCATCGTCATCCTCTCTATTCAAGAAAAACAAACAAGGAAAAAAAAAAAGAGATTTGAAGGAGATTGGTAACCGACTCCACTCTTCATGAGTGCGACATAAAAAGGGGAAAACGTTGGTTTGACTCTTACATAGATTGTTTACCCATGTAAATTCCAGGTGTGGGGGTGTGGGCACGCTTGGTAATGGAGTAATCTACTCTGATTACCCTCCCGTCGATCTCCATACCGTTGGCTCTCTCCATTGCCTGAGAAACAAACGTCCAGAGTCAAGGATCAGCATCATATGCGCAGTCGGCATGGATGCCTTGACTCGGAGGTCGACTGTAACGATACTGACATCTAGTGGTGCACTCGCGTAATCACACGTGCCCAGCAAAGAATGGAGACGGTGCGTGTTGCCATACGACGACACATGGCGCAATTTGAAAACAGGTTTACTTGAGATGACACGTCATCTCGTTGGAGCAACACCGCACTGGACTGTGTCTATGCTACTGTACGGTAATTACTGCCACAGAAGCAGTTTTGGTCCAAGGAAATGCACGTTATTCAACATATAGAGGCGACGAGTCGCAATAAAATGAAACAAGTCAACCTTACCTCCTTTGAATCTTCCAGTCTCTCAAAGTAAACGAAGGCATATCCTCGCGAGCGGCCCGAGCGCTGGTGGAACACCACGTTGACACCAGTCAGACGACCGTACTGTGAAAACACGTGCCTCAGGTCTCGCGCTGTGGTCTCCAAGCTTAGGCCAAATACCCCCAAACATTTGCTGGGATCGGGGTTTGCCTAGAAGGGGTCAACAATAACGCTTTTGGTTGATCGCATTCCGTTCTTGTTCGGTGCATACAAATGTCCAATTGCAACCTTTTCCGGCCTACTTTGATCATTTCTGCAAGCGGAACAGCGTTCAAACCCTTGACAGATTTAATAACCCATTCGACAACTTTAAAAACCCGAGGCGGGTCGTTTTGACCTCAATCAACATGGAGTTTATCAGCGGTTACGAGCACACCGAACGGAATCTCTGAGGTATCAATCGGGTGAGCCTCATTCAAAATGCTGAGTTACCGTTACGTGTACGCGATGTGTCCCACTTACGTGCGATTCCACCCGAGAAATCACATGCACAATTACCACACCACGCCCGCCCAAAATAAGGCCCAAGGTCCACCTACCCTATCGACTAGCCCGCCGTGGCTGTTCGCTTCTTTGGCTTCATGGCTCTGTTGATAGAATGAAATAACAGCAACGGTTATTGAATGTGCCGTCAGAGTGCTTTTGCCACAGCATGAACCGCAATTACTTGAAAAATTCCCGCGTGCGACGCACACATTCGGCCTGTTAAGTTCGTTGATTCGTCGCAAGATAACTTCGAAAAGGTTTGCGGCGCTACCGCAGCCTAATTGGACTCGACTGTTCCGAGTGACGGTTCGTCTTTTTCTCGACAGAGCGGTACCAATCGGATGATGTTGAGGTTGTTGTTTTGCCCTGAGTTAAACAAAAAAACAACAATTAAAGACAGCTGCAGACAGTGAATAAAAGCGGAGCCTCGGAGTCGAGCCAAAGGCTGTTTATGTTTTCGTCGTGAAGTCATACAATGAGGTTGTCCGTAGCCGCACAGTCAAGAGAATAACTACACATTGGATGTTGTAGCACTGCCAACATTTTTGGCTCGCTTGCCAAGCCGTGCGAAGGGCTGCATACTGAATGCACGCTTTTCGCCTTTTGCAGCGGAACTTGGCGTGACAGTTTAAATACTGCTTGACAGTGATGATTGGTCAGGGTCAACAAGGCCTTCTCTGCTGGCCTCAACAGCCAAAACCCAAATTCTAATGTTTGCTCCGGGTACGCGTGCGTATTCATCTAAACCTAACAGCCGATGCTCTTCAATTTGTCACATTTCTCTTTGCTAGACTGCTTCCAGGACTTAAAAAAGTTAGTTTTTTTTTTTTTGGGGGGGGTGTCTCTTATAGGGTAGCATAAAACACCCCCCAAAAATATTGCCAATAACGCCACACGCAATATGCGTATTAGAAATACGAGCGGTAAATTCATATCGAATTGTATGCAACACCCAATGGAACAATCAGATGCAACCTGAAATGCGCATCGCCATTCAATAGGGGGAAAGTATCTCAGCGCATCACAAACACTAAGTTGCTTACTTCGATTTTTCATGAGATAATGTTTAAATAGGACGATGCACAGTGTACAAAAACATGAAATGTCACAAATTAGTTGGCACTCACCCTGAGCCGAGCCTTGGGGCTGCGGTTTGACATGGGCGAAGTGCTCCGGCTCTTCCTGCGGCGGGAGTCGGGGCTGTTGGAATGAGATCGAGATCTCCGTCGGCAGGGATGAGATGGAGAGGGTGAACGGCTAGCATGTCGGACAGAAACGTGCCTCGAACTAGAGCTGAAAATAGAGTGTGAGGCACGAAGGTTGATACATTTTCTCACAAAGTGGACAGAAACAATATTTCACCTGTTTATGAACACAAATAACAACATACCCTGATTTTGATCGAGAGCGGGATCTGGATTCTGAATGCTTGGATTCTCGGGATGGACTCGTGGAGCCTGAGCTGCTCTCCGACTTGGCCTGAGTTGGACTTCCGTGTTCAGATTTAGATGAGAACCGAGACCCCTGTTGCCATAGTGGTAAAACACTATCATTTACACTTACATGTATTTATAACATGAAGCCCTTTTTTATTTTTTTTTAAAGGGTTTAACACATTAAACAGCGTACAACTTGCACTCTCCAGACACTTTACGGGCAACATACAATGAATATGTCATTTCTGCATTAAAAAAAAAAGCCCCCTTTAAGAAATATAAACATTCAGAGGGTGTATTGAGACTGTCAGAGTTTAGAAAACGATTTTAGTAACTATCACACGGCCATCAAAACAAGTAAAGCATGCAGTTTTATGACAAAAAGTTAGCATGCTCAAAAAAGAGCTGTGGAACAAGCAAGGTTTCCTTAACCGAGGGACATGTTCTGTCTTCCGGTTTCTTTACAAGTTTTCATTTCTACTCGTCATAATCTTCTTTTATTTGTGTGTTTTTCTTCACCCCAATTTTAGACCCAAGTGTTCTAATCTTGGTTCTATTTTCTCTGTTCATGTGCTCATTAGCCTGCTTTTGAGCTTGGAATTGTGTTCTTTCTTCCATCATTCTTGGATAAAATTCTGCAAATCTTTCACGAACAACAGATCCTTTATTTAAAATATTAGATTTACGATAAAGATGTACTGTACTTGGTGAAAAAAAAAAACAGTGACTAAATTGCACTTTATTCGAATTTACAATGTTCATCAGTAATTTATTATTATTATTTTTTTAATCAGAACATTTACAGAACTTGTGTCAAGTTCGTAACACTTGAAAGCTAGGAAGGAAAAGTTGCCAAAAGGTGAATAGTCCAGGTTTATTAGACCAAATGAGGGGTATCTGCGCCTGACTTTTCATATGACCACAACATATAACGGTTACTGGGCTTCATAAGCCAAAAAATAAAAACAAAAAATACTCCTGGAATTTCAAGACGCCGTTCAGGGTCACACCGCGGACGGGGTTCAAGCGAACGTAAAGTTACTGAAGTTTACTTGATCCTCTTAAAGGAGTGTAACAAAGAATTATTGTCCGTAAGCAAGATGCAACCCCAGAACTGGCTTTTAGGCGAGCTCCACTCGAGGCAAAAGCTGCAAAATGTAATCGATAGAAAACTTCATTGATTGAGGAATACTTTTTCGGTTTAATGTACGTATTTGTTGTCGGCTTGCAACGAGTTAGGTAAAAGGGATCACTCCTTACCCGTCTTTCGTTACCTCCCTCGTCGGCGTCACTCATTTTCAGGTCATCTACCTACCAAGCAACTTTTTCCGGAATATACAAAATAAGCAAACAAAAAACAAGAAGTAAAACGTTTAAATACCAAATGTTTTGGTTTGAGAGATGTGCGACGAGAAAATGGCGCGCGAGGGCGGAGCGATGAGAAAGCGCACAGTACGTCATTTCCGATTATGACGCCCCTTGCATCTAAGCGCTGGCGACATTGCTTGTGTCAGGTATGTCGCGTGGCGGATGACGTAATGCAAGGAATGTGTCAGCGACACAATAAAATCACACAATGTCGTTAAGAGGACAGTATTTCAACATAAAATGGGACATTTACTTTCTTTTATACCCAACACTTATTGCGATTTAGCAAGTGCTTGTGGACTAAATACTATAGTACACAACATTTATTACACTAGTCATATTTGAACCAGTTTATTGAGTCTGGTGGACTAACGGTACAGTTAAAACTGTGCCAGTGAAGCAGAACAAGTGAGACATTACGTCTATAGCCCACATTTGTTGGTTAAATCTAGTACGGTTAACAGGCATCATTATGATGCGCATTTGAAAGGTTTGTAATCTGCATGGGATAGTTCACCAAGCAGAGATTGAAAGACTCCTCCAGCAGGTAACAATCGCCTCCCACATACAATATAACAGCACTACCAAAAGTGGATTAGCCCATTAATTTTTATAAAATGTCTACAGTCACAGTGCAACATGAACCCTGAACGCGTATTAGCAGATGGTCAGTCGTCTTCACAGCACCAAAGATACTGACCTTGCAGTACATTCATTCCATTCTACATTGAGTGAAATCACTCCCAAGGCAAGTAAAGGGAAGGGGGCACATTTCAGCGGCAAATGAGATTCATCTGTTGGATCACGAGCTTCAGATTGAGGCTGAACAGTCTTTGGATTACGTCTATGCAACTAAATGTAAGATAAGAAGAGATGAATCATATTTTATTGCATGGAGCAATAGTCCACAGCACAAATACAGCAATTCATATTGTGAGCATTCTGTTGAGTTCAGCAGGTTGACATAATATTGTTAAGTTGTATACTACTGTGAGCCCAAAATGTGCCTAGAGCCTTGCACTGCAGTTTCCACAACGGGCGATACATAGTTTGAAGCCAGTACTAGTAATACGATTCAAATATGCCATTATATAAAAATGCAAAATTGAAATATAAAAATGCACGCTGCAATCTTGATCCGATACAATAAATACTGTGGCGCAAAAAAAAGTGAAGGCAAAAAGGTTTTCCCTCCTTTTGGCTTTCCAAGAAGCATCAGTTCCTTCCAAGTCTGCGGACGTCCTGGGATAAATTCAGAAAAAGTGGGATGTGCCAAGAGAGCAGTCAACACGGCTACCAAAACAAAACTCAAAGATGTTGCTGAGGCTTGTTGGGGCTTTGTGGGTTGAAGCGTGACGTCCCATGATGACTGCTAGCTCGCTCCTGGTGGGAGGCTCTTTGCAAGGCGGCGGGAGTGGAAGCGAGGACGGTCCCGTGGGAGGCGTTGGTGAGAGACACATTGGCAGCCAATTCAATTTTCCCCTCGAGTTTGACCAGGCGCTCCAGGATATCATCCAGCAGCACCGCTATTGTCCTCTTCAGATCCGCTGCGTGCAGAAGAATAGATCATTAAGTCACGACATGTGCCCCCGAGTCTGGAAAATTCTCGTGAAATGATTACCATAACCAGCCATGGTGGTCCCCTGCGGCCCACCGGGAGCGTTCTGGCTCTCCTCGGTCAGGACCTTGACGTATCGCCGACTGAGCTCCAGTATCTGCTCGCGGAGCTCTGTGCTGCTCTGGTGGCGAGGTTGCTGCACGGTGTAGCGGAGCAACAAGAGTCCCCACGCCAGACCAAAGAGTAAGAGCAGCACACTCAGCTTCTGCGACATGTTGCGTCTCAGGAGAGTGCCAAGCATGATACTGGGGATGGTGAAGGAGCAGGAAACGGGAACGCTTGCTGCCGTCGGATGTGAACGGCCTCGATATCGTTGCTTCGGCGTGACAGGTGATCGATTTCTCAAGTGTTTTTGTTGTCGATTCCCAGGGAGAAGTCCAGAGTTCACAAATGTCGCAGTACGAGGTAATCTTCGATACCCGTGAAGCGCAAGAATGCTCGACTTGGATTCTCCTAGACGAGGAGACCCTCAATCTTTGGTGGTTGGCTGCCCACCATAGCAGAATGGGGGCTTGGATAGGATGCTCACACGGCGTTGGACAACCTATACACACACAACGAAATAAAGAGGTTCGAGAGAAGAAATTATCTGGGGAAGCTGGGAAATTGCAGCCTCACCTACCTGTTCAACATTTCATTGAAAGCCACACACGCTCAAAGTCACAGATACTACAGTGTCAAATGTGAGGATGGCGACTTCAAGAGGACCCAAAAAAAATTTAAAAAAAGAAGAAGCTTTTTCTCTTGCTTTCGTTAGTGTGTTGGTTTTGCATTTTTAATCACGCAAAATCAATTTTGATCCAATTACTCAAACGGATGGGCTAATCGGTGAACTACTTGATTGTTAAAACGATTAACTGCAGCCCCACATCAAAGCAGACTTCCTTGGTCAATAAGTAGGCAGCGTGCACGCCGCAACACATTTTGACATTTCAGCCCAGAAACCTAATTGCTAGTTGAGCTGTAACTGGATCCACTTTGCTGCTCCTGAAAGGATTCATAGCAGCGGTGGCAACCATTGAGGGCATTCACGTTCTAATCCCACCTACACAAGGGTCAGTGAAAGGACAAATAGCTTTTCGGCGCGCATTCGCAAGGAAAATTAAGTGATCATTTTTCACTTTTTAGATCTTTGCCAACGGGTCCATTCTCTCTCCCTTCTGTGATGGGTGTGCCGCTATTTACCTGTTGAGCTGATGAGACAGGAGCGACTGACTGAGGCAATAAATTATGAAAGCAGAGGTAACAGAATCCATTTTGCTCGTCGCCAGCATCTTTGAAATAAGACATACATTCATTTGAGACTTTAGTTACACTTGCACATTTTCTTTTTTTAGATATACAGTAGTACAGGGGCTCAGTTTTATATCCCCTAAATCTACAACTCCAAAGTTAAATTATACTCTTGCCGAATTAATATCTCCCTAACGGGGTGAACACAACCTTTGTAAGGGCAACATTTTGTGTTACAGGCTTCGATTATGCAGTCTGTGAAGTGCCTTACTAGAGAGAAGACATGCCCTTTGATGCCAGGCACTGATTTTTTTTTAATCGGCACATATTTGAATAAAGCACAAATGCAAAGCGCCCGTGAAACAAAAAACATCAGGGTGACCGTACCAAGCGCCCTGCTTCTGCACTATGCTATTAGCAACACCGGTCAATAAAGCGTGTATGTTTTAGAGGGTCGCCTGAGTCACACCGATAAGGGCAGCGGTATTTTCTGCAGAAGGAACTCAGCTTCCCCTCCGACAGCAAGCTTGGTCAACAAATAACACAACTACTTGACAAATGTTTTTAAAATGAACCATTTAAAGAATCACTAGTACATTTTGTGAAGATAATCCCCAAAACATGCGCAACTGTGCAAGCCAGCAGGGAGAAAAACCGGTCAGGCAGGCGAACGTAAGGCTGAACCACACATGAAGCCTGACATGTACACACCTGCAACAACCTAACAAATTGTGCAGCATCACACCATTTTCGAGTGATCCGAACTTTAGCCTCAGGGTGAAAAAAACAAACATGTATTGCATTGTGCCAATGGATCGACATCTATTGGATTAAAAACACAGAACTGTCCACAAGCCACACTGCGCAGACGACAAAAGCAATAGCATGCTTTGTTACATGGGAAATTTGCCCATGCCAATCTGTTTGTAGTCTCACACCCATTTGTCAAGTCCTCCTAGCTATCAAGTCTGCAATATCACAAAAGTTGCATGCTTCCACTTCATCCAGTCACGGGTTAAGTAATCACTAAGCCATTGTATTAGGGCTGCAGCTATAGAATCGTTTGAGAATATTCTACCAATTATCACATTCAATTTATCAAGTATGTATTTTTTTTTTTGTGCACGAGAGGTGCAGGTATTATTTTTTTCCATTGGGTCAGCATTCTCATATTCTACTGTACCATCTGTGACCTTGAGTGTGTGTGGCCTGGTGAGTGACATGGGTGTCAGTGAATGACAATTTAAGGGTAAACATACTTAGGATTTGAAATATTCATTTTGTGACACCAGTCCTGAATCTTTTCTGACACTTCACATTCATCCTGCACTCCACCTAACATTATTTGAAACATACAGATTACAGATGTCCCAGTACACATATTTGTGTTGTCATGAATCAGCTATATTAGTGCCGTTTATTACTTGCTTCGTTATGCCTGACCTCAACGCTCAGATTACAGTCGCACAAAAAAAAGGAAAAAAAAAAGCATAATTTGTTCACTGGCATCCTTTAAGCCCAATAATGCAGCTGTGATGGGTATCATTCAATCTGTTAAGGACATTTTAGACCCTTAGCAGATTGAATTATTACTCTAAAATCCTCGATTTTCATACAGCCGGAGTCAATGACTGCTATGCATTTTTCCAAATCTCATTCCAAGAAATTCCTCTGGTTTATGTGGGTCACAATGTTGTTCCTTGATCGTCATCCACTAGTATCTTTGCCAAAATTGGCCATGCTCACAAAAAATCTGCCACACAGTCTGCAAATAATGAGCCGTTATTTTTCCCATTTTAAATATAAGATACGCGACCGCAGCCTCGTTTGATAGTCACAAATAACGGCATAATTATTTTCCTTATAACAACATTAAAAAGAACGCTTGGTCTCAGTGTTTCCTACTTTGGATCTCATTCAACTTGGGATAAAGGCACACGCACACGGGAGTTAATACTGAGGTTGAACATTGACCGATTGCTGAGTGGAGGCACACTGTCCGCTCATCCGACTCGCAGATCGTTAACGAAACTATCAGATATTGAGTGCCAAGAATTACTGTCAAGTTGACCTTGTATGACAGCAGAACAAAGCAACTGCCCCTTGACAAACGTAGCGGTTCACTTAACTTCTCTACCACGTAATGTTGCTGCCAAGGTTACACATGAAGGTGAAAAATTCACAAGAGACGCTCTCGTGTAGTTTTCACCTTTGTGGTACTTTCAATGCATATGTTTGCAGCTGCAAAAGGGGAAGTTAACGTGTAGCGACTTTGTAACTCCGTGTTAGCGTCATGTTAGCTCGCCAACAACGCTATTAAAATAGACAGTAGACTAGCAGGCTATGCTAATTTACCTCAGGCTTCCTGCACCCGAGGTTATCTCGAAGTTGGTGATATAATAGCCATGCTGCAGCCAAACGAAGGAAGATGAGGGCTCCAAACCCCGAAAGGATGACGTGAAAGGGTTGCTGCGGTCGCCGGTTAAAGAACAAAAATAAAACAAACCAAAACAAAACATCAAGTCTCCACCGTCTCTATGTTTAAGTTAGCCGGTCATCATGACCCGAGAGTCGAACATTTAATTGCTTCTTCTGCTAAGCTCCGAAAAACGCTCTGCGACTCAGTAGGCTAAAGTGCACAGCTGGAAATGTTGCACGCAAGTGGGCTGACCGTCACGGTTCCCTTGAAGGTTCGCTGTGCGTCACCGCAAGGCATTGTGGGACTTGTAGTCGTTACTGCCTTTCGTTTGACCCGCGGATGACAAAAGGGGACAGTGACAGAGAAATCACTCATTTAACTCTCGATTACGAGTTAGAAACATTTCCGTGTTACAATATTTCGATTTTAACTTAATGAGTAAAATGAGCTTGAGTCGGTGAAATTAATTTGGTGTTTTTTTTT